TTGTGTGTGTGTGTGTGGCCAGCTCAGCCCACCAGGGGGTGGGGCTGGCTGGCATGTGGTGCTGGAGGATCGAACCCAGGTCCCTGTGCTTTGCCAAGCTTGTTTCAAGTAGGTGCTTTAGACCACTGAGCCATCTCTCCAGCCCTAAACTTTCCTTCTAAGTATCAAAACCACAGTGAGTGCAGCACTTAGCTGTTCCTTGATATCTGTGGTTGCCTTTGCCTACAACAGGGTAACTGACAGCCTCTAGTTATGGGCCAATGAAGGTGCATGGGCCCTGGCCATGTGTCAACTAGATTTCTCTGCAACTAAATCTCTTCCTTCCCTATTCTAATCTCTTAGAAATGAGACTTAAAGCACAGGAGTACATGGGGCTGCTGAAGGATCTGTGCTCAGCAGATGCTCAGGAACTAGCCACCAGCTTCAAGTATCTGCTGAGACTCAGGGAGGCAGCTGAGGCTGACCTTCAGGGGCTCACTGTGTTAAGATAGAAAATCAGAAATAAAAAGGATCTATCACCTGTAGCATAGAAGGCTACATCTACCCATGTGCTGGGAACAGTCCTCACAGGCAAGATGTCTGGCATGGTTTAAGGAGCCCTTTCACTTAGAAAGTAGTATAAGGTCTGGGGCAGGGAACGATGGGGTAGTATAAGGTATCAGCAACTCCTTGGCATTACCACAGCCAGCTTTAGGCAGCCTTAAAAAGTCTACATCCTGCATAAGAAAGCCACAGCGAGGCCTTTGGCAGGAGAGGGACATGGCCATCTATACCTCAGAGAGGTAGGGGAGATGGAGCACATAGGGGAACTAGACACAGGGTAACTGCCACAAACCTGATGCGTCAGTCCTAACATAGGTAAGAACTTGCACGGATGCAGTGAGACAGGCTGGGAAGAAGAGAGAAGTGGGGGTTATTAAGCTGTCTGGGGTGATAAACGACTTGGGGATGTTTAGAGGGAAGTAGGGCAACTCATTAGAAGGTTTGGGTGTGGGGTGCAGGCATGGTACTACCCTCCCACCCAGCCTGCCCCAGATCTAAACTTCCAGTGTGGCTCACTGGCTCCTACCTGTAGCACTGGGATCTGGATACAAGGCGTCCCAGCCACTGGAGCCAGTGCTGGCCAACCTCCACTGGGTACTGCGAGGTTCCCACACATGCAACTGGTCTGGCTTGCATGGCAGCGAGGAGGGCTGGTCTTGTCACCTTTTATATTTCCTTGAGTAAACTCAGAGGTTCCTAAAAATAAATTAAAAACAAGCACATCTAAAATATAATTTTGGTCAGACTCTCCTCTCACTCAAATTGTGCTACAGGGAAGACAGTTTTCTGATTAGCTGTCATTATGCATATAGCCTGATGGACTAAAACTTCCTCAATGGGAATGATCATGAGATAAGTAGTAAAACAAATGAGGCACCAAGATTCTGCTTAGAAAACTTAAAAGACATATACATCTTCTTGCCAGTCAGGAGACCCATGTTGTTCATTTCTTGAGTATAGATACCCCGCCTAGTCCTCCTAACTCCATCAGGTGCTGGCAGGCAGGAGACACAAGTACAATTAAGTGGAAATAGCCATATGGAGCATGAGAGTCAAGAAAAAGGAAGGAAGAAAGCAATCTTTCACATCCTACCCTTGGACAGTACCAGACCTATGCTTAGCAGAAGGCTAAGTGGCTCCCAAATGTTCAGGTTATTTTTTTGTCCAGTTTCCTTTTCAAAAGTCATCACTTCATTGGTTTTATTTTTTTTTTTTGGAACCAGGGATTGAACTCATGCTCTTGCGCTTGCCAGGGAAGCCCTTATTCCACTGAGCCATCTCCCTGGCCCCACTTCATTGGTTTTAGGTAGATACATAGATACACGCTTTTAAAAATTATTATCTTCAGGGCCAGGGAGACAGTGGAATAAGTGCTTCCCTGGCAAGTGCAAGGGCCTGAGTTCAAGCCCTGGTTCCGTAAAAAAAAAAAAAAAAAAAAAATTATTAACTTCAAAGCAGGAAAAAATCTTAATACCCAGGAATAACCATGTGAGCATCAGAAAGCTCCCAGAGTGAGCAGAAGGCAGGTATTTGAGTAATTCAGTGGCTGGGTTCAGATCTTGATGCATGGTAACCTTGGCAAAGTAAAAATGTGGACTACCATGTCTCAACTTGTAATATGGTATAAGTACATAGAAGAGACTGGAGCAGTGACAAATTCACATTAAATGCCAGGGAGTCTTCAGTGTCATTATTGCTTTGTCCACACAGCCCTACCTTGGTATATATCTATCTATGAATGGCTAATAAAAGCTACTATGCAATGACTATTACACAAGTTATTTGGAATAGAAGAATCTAATTTTGTTATACTTAACAAAATATAAATAAATGAAATGGAAATACTAAATTTCTGAAAATTATTCTTCCTGGAAATTTCTAATTCAGCTAAAGTTAAAGGGAATAAGAGTTGAAGTTGGCAAATCTTAAGTTCAAGCAAGACTGGACAACTTGGTGAGCCCCTGTCATAAAAAGAAAGGGAGAGAGGGAAGGGAGAACAGAATACCGAGGGGGAGGGGGAATGTAGTTTAGTGCAAAGGCTCTAGGTTCAACCCCTGGTTATACAATCTTCCACCCCCCACCCCCATAAAAGAGAACAAAAACCAAGAGGTTTGATTCTTCCTTTGGGTTTTTGTTATTCTGTTTCCATTTCAAATAGGAACAGCTGACTCTGCTACCTAAGATGCACTTTTTTTTGCCTAGCAGGTTTTAACTTTGTGAGCAGCATGTCCTGAGAGCTGACCTGCTGCCTTACTCCACTGGCCTCACTCCTGTAGTGCCCTGTCCTGACAGCTTCCTATATTGGGTGTCTGAAGCCTCCATACTCAGCAGACACAACCTGATGGGGTGTGATGCCCTTGGTATGATGGTGCCAGACAAATGGGGCACTGACTCTTCCCTGCACACAGCTTACTGCTTTCTTTCCAGGTGACTCAAGGATCTCTTTAAAGTACAAATACTAACAGGTTGATCCGACAGTGATGATAAGGGTAAATGTAAGGGCTTGAGGGAGGTTATTTTTTATTTTTTTGTAGTACTGGGGATTGAACTAGGGCTTCACTATAGGACAGTACTCTACTAGACCTTTTGAATTCTTGAGACAGCGTCTCACTAAGTTGCCCAGGCTGGCCTTGAAGCTGTTATCTCCCTGCCTCAGCATCCTGAGTAAAGATTACAATGTGTAGCACTGTACCAACTGAGGTCCCATTTCTGGGATGGGAAAAGATTCAGCTGTCCCTCATATAGGGTGATAGGGGTCCATAACATTTTAAAATATATTCTTTTTGTTCATCTGCTCCAGATAGTATCTTACTATTCTTTATATATAGTTTCTCCTTTCTAATTGTTTTACTTGTTTTCATATTGCAGTGTAGGCCGTAGCTAGGCAAAACAGGTATCCAAGGCTTCTCTGACAGAAATTCCATATCAGTTCTTATTCTTCTTGAATTTACATACTATTCCATTCAGCTCCAGAATTACTGATGAATATTTTTTATGCTACAAGGTCTAGTATATCCCTTCACATTACAAATATGGGTGTAACTTGAAATTAAAATTTCTGGTCAAGGAGAATTAAGTGAGTACATTTATAAATATTAATAATGAAAAATGAAACATTAGAAACTTCAATAACTATGATACTGAAAATAAAGTTGTACTACAAACACACTGTAAGAATGGGAGCTGGTTGTTATAGTGCACACTTGTAATACCAGCTATCTAGAAGGATGAGGAAGGAAGATCACAAGTTTGAGCTCAACATGAGAAATGTAGCAAGGGACTTGGTGAAAGGCGAGACCCTGTCTCAAAATGAAGAAAGGACTTGCTGATGTAGCACAATGCAAATCCACAGTACCACTCAAAACAAACAGAAATGGAAATAACTATTTTTTCCCTAAGTAAGTTCATGTATTTGTATTGAAATACTACTGCAAGAATTAGGCATGATTTGCATGTACTTCTGCCAATTAAAACTGTTCAAATAAAATGTATATATGTTTTAATTGTAACTTCATAATTTTACAGCTATATATTAAGCTCTTTGAATTTATGGAAATTTACGGCAGAAAGTCCAAGGGAGAATGCCAATCTTTTTTTTCTTTTTGAAACAGGGTCTCACTATGCAGTTAAGGCTGGCCTTGAATTCACTATTTAGCCCAGGCTGGCCCTGAAATTATGGTGAACCTCTTGCCTCAACCTTTCCTGAGTAATGGGACTATAGATGTGCACCACCACACCCTGCCTAAAGCACTGATTTTATAACAGGAAATAAGATGGACTATCACCAGAATATTTCATGATCTGTGATAAGCTAAATTTGTTTGTTTTTCATGTGTCTCACTTTAGCATCAAAAGACTTTTTCCCCCAGTTAATAATTGTCCTTGGAACAAGTCAACAACTGACAAGAACTGCTTTAGCTTACATATTTCATTAAAGGCAATACAATCTTTGACAACAGTTGAAGACTGAAAAAATCTTTATGCAAAAGCTATCAACATCTTTACGGTCTCTATAGTCAGAATCTCCTAACATCTATTAGAAAAATTTCTGCACATCACAGGGTAGGTTGGCCACAGAGCCTCACAGAAGTTTGATGCCTATATTAATCTATAAAAGCACTTCCCTGAAAATAGTATTTTGAACTATCCCTGGCTTTGGTGTTCTGAAAGATTACTGTTTTTATGCACATTGCTGGGCAATACATAGCATAAAAACTTGGCTAACCAATACTGGCTTTTTCTTTTTGTTTTTGAGGGGGCGCACTGGCAAAGGAAAGGCAGAAAGGAGAACCTGGAAAGCAGCCAGTCCAAAGGTGTATTCTCAGGTGAATCAATTTTAGGAAAGATGATACACAGAAGACTCCAATCTATAAGTCAATCCTCTCCAGAGTCTCATAACCCACAGGAACTGGACCCCAGGTTACAGACAATAATGCTCAGGGAGAGGGTAGAGTAAGGAGAGGAAGCTGAGTTGTTCCTCAAGGCCTCAAAAGGAAAAAACATCTTTGCCTGGGATAGCCATCAGAGCACACACACTCATCTATTTTTTGGTAATGGGTCATGAACATTTATGACTAAAATAAGTATGATTATGTAGAAATCCTTAAAGACATACTGAAGTAAACTGTCTCTACACTGAACTCTCAGTGATCATACAGTCCTGGGTCCTTATTAGTAAAAGATACTATAGCATGAAAGAAGAAAAATAAGTATTTTTCCTCACTGTGAACATATTCAAACTCTTATGGACTAAATTTTGCTTTAGTACTCTTGGGCTTTATTTAAAATGCTTATCTGTGCTGCAGAACTTCCAGGAATGAGAGGAAAGCAGGGTAAATACAATTTTTAAGCAACCTCCAAAAAGAGAGAGAGAGAGACCTAAAAAAGTTAACATTATGCATTAAACAGCTAAGTGAACAGGCCAGTTTTAAGAGCAGGACACCTAACCATTTACCTTTGACCTCTCATACCTGCTATGAACTGAGGTGGTAACCCTACCTTCACTTAGCTGGGCCAATATGAAAATTAGATTAGGCTAAGAGTACAGAGCCCGGCTAGCACGATGTGCCCCCACCACACACAGACAGCACTATTATAGTGACAGCTACAGAAATTTGAAGGATGACAGTAACAGCTCAGGTACCCTGAGAAGAATCTACAGTAACAAAGATCGGCTTCAAGGGTGCTCTGACAGCCCTCTCCTCACCACTGCTTCAGAAACTTCTACTTGCTAACTCTGAGGTCATGCAAGCTATCTCTATTAGGGATGTTTATCTGAGTCACAGAACACAGCCCAAGATCTCAGTGACCATTTTTCCAACTCCTGGAAGGACCGCAGAGATGACTTAGTACACAAAATGGATGCCAAGGTCAGTGAGACATATCACAGCTCCTGATATGGTTAGACCTAGACCATTACTGTGTTAAAGACAATATGCAATTCTACTTACAGGGGAAAATAGTCATGCTAATATCAAACAGCAAATAAAAATGTGCATCATTGTTTAAAGAAAGCCCTAAGTGAGAAATGCTTAACACAGTGCACCTAAGGAGAATCATCTAGAGAGAAAACATTCAGGGTTTCACAAGAGAGCAAATTGGTCAAACAATGGCTGTGACTCATCCACATGGCTGACAATGACAAAAGATCTACAAGCTGCTATACATGGTTTCAGGGTAAATCCTGAGGGGATCTG